TGTTTCTTACATTTTGCATCAACGAAGAAAGAGAGGGGCAGAAATTCAACACATCCTACTAAATCAAGAATCGACTCAGTTACAAGAAAATATTTACAAAGTTTAACTACTAACAAACCCAACAGTAATGACTGATTTAGTATGTTAAAAACTAATTTTCCTTCTCATCTCTTTTTTCTATACCCTTGTTTATCTCTCCTCTTTCTCACTCTCTATATTATTATCTATTCTATTTACTATCTTTCCTATTTCACTTTTTCTGTATCCTCTTTGAGTGATTAAATAATCACCCATTTTGTATCTGGATATGTAGGTGGCTATGATGTGCTTTTCTTCAGTTAAGTTCTCCTCCTCCTCTTCAAACTCCTGTATTGTTACCCAATTTATATCTTTTTCTGTGTAATCATCATAGAATAACTATTTAAAACTTAGATATCCTACGTCCTTAATTTCATGAATTTGTTTTGAAAGAGCATCATTGAGTGTTTCTCTTAATTTGTTTGTTCTGGCTGTCCACGATGGGTTTATTATTTGGTTCTTTATTTTATATTTATTTGGATTGTACCGTATAAACATTACTGTTTGTCCCAAGGATTGGCCTATATTCACCATTCGGTTACATTCACATTCCACGTTGCAACTTTTGTGCTGTTTTTCATCCACTTCTAAAATGACATAATGTGTACCATTATTGGACACAAATACAAAACCTGGACCTTCTCTTCCAAATTCTGCATTGTTTATTCTTTTATCGTACCATTCATAGTTGTATCCACTACTATCCAACCAATTTTTTTTATTTCTGTCCGTTAATACACCTTGATACTCCTTGTTAAACTGCCAGTTGGTTAAGCTGCTTCCTGGTTTACAGAACATACAAGATCCATCCAAATTGGGTACGGATAACGATTAACATGTTGGACATTCTCGTTTCACCATATTTCTCATTTTTGGTTTGGCATGTTTTTCACACATCTGTGGCCTTTTATAACCAAATAGGGCTATTTCATTACATTTACTGATTTCACACCTGTGTGTAGGTTGTCAGATCATGCCACCCTTTTTGTGTTGAGAGCAGTAAATAGGTGGGTAGGAGAGGTTGTTAAATCTTGGTCTCACTGTACATTCATTTTCTATACACCTTTTGCTTTTGATATCAATCATACCTTCCTTTTTATGTTCCGCACAGTAAACCCCTTTTGTTTCTCCTGGTTGGTTAAAATTGGGTATCACTGTACATCCATTTTCTATACGCATCTCTTGTGTTTGATATCAATCATACCCTCCTTTTTATGTTCCGCACATTAAACCCCTTTTGTTTCTCCTGGTTGGTTAAAATTGGGTATCAGTGTACATCCATCTGATTTTTTTTTTTTAATTAATGTCAAAACGAAAAACTTGGGCTTTAACAAAGGAAAATATTGTAGGTATGAAAATAAAACCCCAAACCTAAAATAATAAGTTTTACCATTTAAATTTCCCAAAATAAATAGGGCAATAATGGCTCTTGATCACAGTAGATTAGACATGGAAAACAAATTCTTGGAAAACAAATCCGGACGAATTTTTTGCGTTCGACAAGTTTACTTTTCAAATTCTTGCCAACAAATCTGGGTGCGTGCAAACCAACCTTTTTTACTTTTTATACATCACGTCTGAGGGGAAAGAGTACTATGAGGCGCTGTTTTTATCATTACAGACCTTGTACAAAATGCAGTATTTCACAATTTTTCAAGACAAATTGCATTTATTTAATATTCAGGACCATCGAAGCACGCTTGGACTTTTAGCGAAACCGTTCAAAAAATTTCCAAAATCACCTGTACGGCCAGCCGGTTCTAACTTTTGACAAGCGCTAAATTTGCAAAGAAATTTAAAAGAGTTACGCTTCAACATGATAAAGAATTTATTATGTTTACTTTTTTATAAATGGCTTTATAACCAAAAAGCGTTTGATACGCTCGGCTGACGGCATTTTGAGTACTCCTGCAAGCGATGTTCATAAACGACTGAAAACAAACGGCAAAGCGATGAAAATTGCACTTTTGAGACTACTAACAATCAATAAAGAAATATAATTGGGTAGAACATTTACAGAGACAACAATTTTCATTCACGAAAACAAATAAGTATTTAAGTGTCTCTAAGAATCCTGAGTCTTTAAGCTTAAAGATTAAGTTTATGTTTAAGGCCGCCGGCTTCCCGGTGTTTGCAGTTTTCAAAGATGAACTCGGGACAAGAAAATCGCTCAAATCTCAAATCTGTCAAATCTTGATACAAACGTGCATAAACCAGCTTCATAAACTGCGCTCGACTTCATGAAATTAGATATAAATACAATAATTACTCAGGCTTACCATATTTCGAGATGCAGCTCCTGAAAGCTATCAAGTAAGGCCAGGATCGCTTGAGCCTTTATAATTCTCTTACGCATCCAGCAAGGTGGAAAACAAAAACGGTACCATTCGAAATCGGATTTCCGACGTTGACAAGCGGCGCATGAATACCAAAAGACTCTTGATAGCAGCTGTATTTCATTTTGTAAAAATGACAGTTAAAAACATCACGAGTTGACACAAAACTCTGTCAGCTTCAGCTGTGAAAGTAAACAAGTTCCAAGATGTTGCATAAATTTTCCGCATGAACTCACCTGTCAAATTTTGACCAATCAGAGCATAAAAATTGGACGTGGAGCGTGACCAACGCGAGACTATGGTGAGAAAAGTGAAAAGCATCTTTCTTCCCCGCCTGTATTTTTAAATAACTGGCTAAATTTTCGCGTCCGAGGTTAGTTTGAAATCGAAATGTTAATAGTGCTGGACCATAGTGACACAAACACAACATATTTCATATGAATTAAAAACGCCCGAGCCCGCGAGCCTGAGCCCGCGATACAGTCAGGTGATACTGGTCAGCGGATACCTTGTTTTGACAGTAGTTTAGCATCTCTCTCACGCTCAGCCACCATGCTTTGATCGATCTTCAATTTTCTCGGGTTTGCGCAGGCGCAGTTACGCAAAACAGGCCATATTACGTCATTATCCACTAGCCAATCAGCGGTTTTTGCGCTCTGTCGTTGTCAATCCAATTGATCACAACATTGATGTGCAATCAGTTTTCTCATGGGTTCCCTGGGCTCCCAAAGTAGCTAGAGAGTGTGAGAGTAAACATTTGTATACCTGTGGTGCAGACGGACGGGCTGCGGGCGGTGTACGGTCACGTGATTACCAAATTTTCTGGGATGGGTAGATTTACTTACCCATGGTGCTCCGCTGGCGCGCTTCGCGCGCGGAGCTCCGCTATTATTGGTAAAGAGAACAGCTAGCTTAGGAAGGGGATGTTATGATTGGTTGAACTTTGTAACAAGATCACGTGATTTGTACCAACACGTGTCGAGTTCTTTGAGAATAAACTTTGTTCTTGTACGAAGTGGATGTGTGTTCTCGATCTCTTGTTCATAACACTGTGTCTTAGTCGAACACAGAGTTATTCTATCTTACGTCCTTATTTGTGTTACATTTCCTTTTTAACAATAACTCTAAGGATTCTTCTGAAATTTTGATTTTTCTCTTTCCGTGCCACCCTAAGGGCTAATTGAATTAACACCTTTTGGGTGACATAGCGTACTTTATTTTGATATACTTTATTTCCTCAAGAACTGAAGAATACTGTCATTGTAGTGATATATAGATATTATCCATAAAATAACCACTAAAAATGATGCAAAAATGTGCAAAATTTGCCGGTGCAGATACGTTAATGACTGGAACTCTTTACCAAACTCCGTTATGTCTGCTTCCAGCTTGAACTCTTATAAAATTTTATTACTTAGTTATCTTTGTAAATAGCCATATTTTATTACTTCTTACTGATTTTGGATTTTCTTTTTTATTTAATAATTAATGAATGAGGTTGAGTATCTTATGAAGAATTATGGAGATCGAGGAGGGTGTTATCGGCCGAGGCGGATAACACCCTCCGAGATCTCCATAATTCTTCATATGATCCGAAAGCCGAATTCAATAATTGTTTTATTATTCATTCAAAATAATTCCTACTTTAAAAACATGGCTAAAACATGCTAACCTCCATCGATCCATCGATGTTAAGTTCATCTTCGATAGTGCACGTTTAGGTTTTTCCAGCTCCGCAAATATTCTCCAAATAGCAGATGTCGCCCTTCGAGTTGTCTCCTTGCTGTTTTTGCCGTGTTTTTAGCTATGTTTTTGCCTAGTTTTCACTCTTGAAACGAGTGAAATGTCCGCTATTTTTCAAGTTCACAATCAAAACAACTCAACCTCGTCCCCAGGTCTTCTCGGTTAACGGTGCCTTAACCTACGAAAACGCTGCATTTTTGACGTCATTTCCTCGTTAAACACAAAATTCTTCCAAATTTGGTCATCAGTGACTAGTTATGGTGAATTAAACGAGTGCTTTTAGCCAATCAGAATCGGAAAAATATTTTGAATGAATAATAATATTATTTAATATCCAACTAGTTTAATTAGTCTTTTTTTTATGTATAGTTACATATCAGATATATGCTATTCTTTATTGTTTTATCTTTTATTTTTGGAGAGCAGTTTTTGTATGGGAATTCAACTTCCCCCTATTGGTTCCCCCTATTGCTTTCCTTCTGTACTTCATCTAGCCTCAATTTTTGAAAACATACCTCAAAACGGACCAGAAGATTCGCACAGGAACCTGGCGATAGCCAGGTTTCTGCCTCTGTTAGCATGATTACTCGTGTGTTGTAGCTTTAGTTTAGTTTTTAACTTTCATTTATATTTTATAACATTATGAAGTAAAACTTTACCATAGTTAGGTTTACTTAAAATCAAATTAGGAACCTTTTTTCGTAGCAGAGTCTGCATACTTGTTTATTTGATTGTTTTCGATCATTTCTGGCCAGATTGGACACTTTCCAGACAACATGAAGAACTCAGTGAATTGTGCTGTCAAGAAGAAAGACATTTGCTGCGACTAGTGCCCTTTTTTGGTTAAGATGGCGGCCTTAGCTTCATCTCAGTAAATTTAAGCGAAAAATCACTTCTAAAGTAGCACCATAAGACTCCTTTCCCAAATCCCTTGTTTCCCACGTATTTTCCGTTTAGATTGGATTGGTGGCCAGCGTCGTACCACCAGGCACCAGTGTATAGAACAGCACAGTTACCATGCCATCTGTCATTATCTCTGTCTTTTGTGCTAAACGCCATGTTATTATGATATGTTAACGAATCTCCTGCCGTCCCTGAATATGAACCCACTTCAAGTCGATACTTCGCCTGCTCATCACCAATCTTAAACTTGCCATATTTAGCATATGCTCTTACTCCGTTCCAGTCCTCTAGCTCCACTCGTAGAGAGCTGGGTCTAGCGGCCGTAAGCCTGTGGATCTTGTCGTTTCCTAACCAGAACTCAGCCGTCAGCTGACCAAAACCTGATTTGTAATCGTTCCATCCTCGATAGAAGTCCACAGAGCCATCTTGTCTTCTCTGAAACACGGTCCATCCTCCACCATCAGTGCGCATGTCACAATATACATTGAAGGATCCTTTACCGTCTGGGTTCACAGAGTACACTCCACTCTGAGTGTGGCCTGATTTTAACAAATCAGAACAATCTGTAGAGAATAAACAACAGTAACGGCTTTATTTTAGGAGCGATAAACAGTCTTGACCTATAAGAGAGTGAAAATGTCTATTAAGCAAATTTCTATAAGGACCATAGGATTTTTCTACCTCTATCTTGATAGTCAAGATTGAAATAATGCGCTTTAATAGATATTTTGAAGATCACATCAGTTCTTGAAATATAATCAACAGTGTGATTAAGGGCTGAAGGCTGATTAAGTGGTAATTGCGTCCCTCGAAAACCTTGGTAACTTTAACATGATAGCAACAGCTTAACATTGACCTTTGTATCAGTTGAGGCGCTTATAAGCTATATTTATAACTGACCTCTTGATGAATAAACGAGAGTCACAGTTTCTACGTCAAAAACTCCTGCGCTGGTTGCGGTACAAATGTAATGACCTGCATCTTTCTTTGTAATGTCTCTAATCACTAACACACCATTAATCTGCTGGTTTCTTCCAACTGGCAGATAACCTCCTTGTTTTCTCCAGCTAATAACTGGTTGAGGGTCACCAGTTGCGCTACAATTAAGCGTCAAGGTGTCTCCGAGCCCTGCAAAAATGCTCAAAGGTGGCTTAACAATAAATCGAGGATGGGAAACGATCACTACGAGTGCTTTCTTTTCAGTAGTTCCAAGTAGGTTTGTTGCTGAACAGAGATACAAGTCAGAATCTATTTTTCGAGCATTTAAAAGTTTTAAGCTACTGTTGTTATACTTCACCCTCTCATGGGGCAACTGGCCGGATGCCTTTCTCCAAATGACGACCGGTGGTGGGTAACCAGTCACGTGACAGGAGGGAAGAGTAAAGTTGCTGCCTTCAATGGCGTAATGAGGCCCCGGATGGAGGGAAACTCGAGGATGAACTGAAAGAGTGCAAGGAAAAGAAATATCAGTGGCTTTTTACTGTTTGTTTAATAATTAAAAAAGCCTGATTGTCAAGTGTACAATACGAACGGAAGAGTTGGTATAGTGTTACGACGTTTGAACATTCAATTCTGTACGTCGAATTTAGAGGGGTAGCCCAAAAGCACTATCGCTCTATTTTATTATTTTTCGGTAGCTCAGTGGTGGAGCATCTAAACTAGTAACCAGATTATAACATTGTTATCTTTAGGAATTGAATTCGGCTTTCGTAGGATATGACGAATTCAATTCCTAAATATAACAATCCGAGATCTGCAGAATTCTTCATATCCTACTTAGCCTCATTTATCATTCCTTTAAAATGTTTCCAAGTTTAAAAACAAGCTAACACATGCTAACCTCGGTCGATGTTAAGCTCATATCGATAGTGCATCTTTATCGAGAAGTTTAGGAGATAAAGGTCTGCTCAGGTCAGTAAATATACTCCAAATAGCAGATGTCGTCTATCGCGCATCCAGTTGTCTTCTTGCTGTTCTTGCCATGGCTTTAGACAAAATTTCGCCGTGAAACGAGTAAAATGTTCCGCTGACTGTTCCGCCATTTTGGTCTAGCTACCAAAACTACTCAACCTCGTCCCCAGGTTTTCTCGGGTTAACTGTTCAATAATCTGCAACTTGGCTGCACTTTTGACGTCATCGGTTTACTATAGTAGTAGTAAACCTTTATTTAACTAGGGTAATCCCTTCAGAATACTTAAAAGTGTATCTGTTATCAATAGGAGTCCTAAATTAAGACTAATAAAGTAACTATAGTAACTAATAAAGTAACTATAAGTTAATAATAGTACAGTATAACAATTAAAACTAATTCTTATTCACTAAATAATTATTATACACAACTGAGCCATTATAATAAAAACTTTTCTTGGCGGTCTCAGTTCTTACTGCAGGTAAGTATATAAAATTGCTTCTTCTTGTTTCTCTTGAAATAACTTCCTTATTCAACTTTCATATCTGCTTTATTGCAGCTGGACCAAACAACATCGCAATAATCAAAAATGGGCAAAATTAATGAATTATACATCTCGAAAGCTGCATGTATAGTGATAATCCTTCTAAGGCGCCCTAAGACACCAACTCTTTTACCAACCTTAGAAATAACACAACGAACATGGTCTTTCCACGTAAGACTATCGTCAAGAACGATGCCTATATACTTCCAAATTTGGTCAACAGTAGCTGGTTATGGTGAAATATGCTTGTGATTTTAACCAATCAGAAACTGGGAAATATTTTGAATGAATAATAATTACAATTATTCCACAAGTGCGCTTGGATGTGAGATGGTAGATAGCCAACGAGGCGCAAGGCGCCGAGTTGGCTATAATCATCCCATATCTAACAAGGCGTGTGAAATAACTTTTTTATTAAAACCTTCCACAAAATATCGACAATTTTCCCCAATTTTATTTGTAAATACACCCGATTTTCAGTTTGCCTTTAATTTTGAGCAGACGTGAACACTTACCACATTTGGAGAGCATGATATAATAGGCCTACTATGGGACCCTTAAGTCGCCGTAATTTTAGGCGACTTAAGCGATTTAAGGCGACTTTAGGACAATTTGGGCTAAATGTTGTGCGACTTAAGGCGATTTAAGGCGACTTAAGGAGAAAGACGCAACATTTAGGTGAATTGGCTCATATACCATGATGGCTAAGCCAATCAGAGCTCTAGAATTGCATTATCCAATGATTCAGTTGTTTATAAAACATGTTACGACTTGAAAGCCAGAGAGAAGCAAACTGTCGCGTCCATTAAAAAAGTAAATGCCGTGATCAGTGTAAGCGATATCTCTTGCCGTGAAAATTAAAAATAAACAATATTTCCTATAAAAACTCACCATTTACAACAAGCTGTACCAGCGTTAGCGCATGTCCTTAGATGTTTGTTGCTGAGCATTGGTATTCACCCGAGTCACTTGCGTTAGCATTCTTTAAAAGTAATCTCCCTCCTAAAACCGCTGACTTTCTTACTTCAGAAAGGTTGCCCCTTTTACTCCACACTACTGCGGGCTCAGGATTACCACTCACTGAACACTGAAATGAAGCTGTTTCACTTTCGTTTACTGTCAGGTTTGAAGGGGAAACAGTAACAGCAGGAGCGGAAATCGATACACCGGGCTCTCCTTTCGTTCCCGGCATGCCAGCGGGTCCTGTATCTCCTTTTTGCCCTTTCAGTCCTAAATCACCTTTTGGTCCTGCAGGTCCCATGATTCCTTGCTTACCGCTTTTTCCTGGTGATCCTCGTGTTCCCTTCTTCCCTTTTCGTCCCCGGTCTCCCTTCTCTCCTCTCGGCCCTGGTTGACCGGGAGGGCCTGGGGGACCTGAAAGACACGCTTCACTTGTTGATTTGCAAAGTCGCGGTCTTCCCTCTGATAAAAGTTTGTGAATTTCTTTAATCATGGTGGTTGTTGTTTTAGCTTTCCTGGTATTATTACCTGAATTCGCTTGTCTTCTGGCTCGATGATGTTCGTGGGTGTTAAATTCTTCTAAGAAAAATTAAAACATTTTTCATTTAATAGACCTTTTTACCGATACGGCGGCCATATTGAACTAATTCGATTTAAGGAGTATTATAGGATGCCCAGGGGGCATGAGCACATTTCGTTTGTATTTTCGAGCGCTTTTCGGGACATTTTTTCGTAAAGTTTTCTTAGAATAAAAGGTTTTGATTTAGTCGATCACAATATCCTTATCCAAGAAATGGAGCTGCTGGGCGTGCATGAGGCCACTATCAGATGGATCGGCTCGTTTTTAACCGACCGTTCACAAAGAGTGCGAATCGGTCAGGTTTATTCGCATCCAGTTACACCGAATGGGGGAATACCACAAGGAACAAAACTCGCGCCATTGCTGTTCGCCATATTAGTGAACAATTTGTGTAGGGACTGGAGATATAGGATTAAATACGTTGATGACACCTCGGTATTTGAATCTATTCCTCGATGTTCGCCTAGCTACCTTCCATTTATCGCCGCAAATATTAACACCTACGCTTCCATGCGTAACATGCGGCTTAATGAGAAAAAATG